AATTATCTAAGGACTTGCTCTGCAATAAAACCTCACTTTCAATTCGTAATCGAGAATTTATTTGTTGTTGGCGTTCTCGATTTTCTATATAATCAACAACACGAGAGTGAGATATGCGATATTTTTTTGCCATTGTATTTATTGCATCAGGTATTATACCTATTGATCCTTTAATTTCTTGAATTGCCTCATCTGAAAGAAATGTTGCATTAGCACTATAATATTTTTTATGGATACGTCCCATATCAACCACGTAAATGTTCTGCTTTGCAGAAATATTTTTATTATCACATATAAAGAAAAGTTTCAAAAAGTTTCGAAATGTTTTGAAATATTAGTTATACATATAGTAGTTGATATATAATGAAAATATACAAATATTCCAGAATATCTTAGAATGTTTCGAAATGTTTTATTATATTTAAAAACATACAGATATATAAAAAAATAATATTTACTAGAGATATATTTTACTTTTTGCATCTTATTCATTTTTTATATATTATCTATTATTTAGCAGAGCAAGCACAAGATGCTAATATGTTGGCTAATATACATACATTACAAAATATTAAAGGCCATAGACTTGGTAGTATATGCGAAGAAGAGCTAGAAAAAAAAATACACGACGCTATTAAGTCCAAAGCCGAAATTAATAAGCTTAGTGAGAAATTGCAGGATAAATATATAAAGCAAATGAAGGCATTTGATCGAGAAAGAAAGGGGTGGAATCAGAATTCGTTACGAAATAATACCGAGATTCAAAAGTTATGCACCCACGCTTTGAAGGTTATTAATGAGCATAAGCAAATACAAAATGAAAATACTAATCTTATTTCTCATAACGCACAAAAGGATATTTTTATTGCTGAATCCAAGGCTGAGAATGTTACGAAATCCAAGAAAATTAAATCACTCGAGTTTATGATCAAGATATTGGAAAGTAAGTTGTCTTCAGCCCAGAAAGATGTGATTTCGATTCAAAGCGACTCATCGAAAAAAGAATCCGAGATTTTATCTCTCAAGTCTAAAATAGTTGAAGTAGAACATGAGTTAGCTTCGAAAGTCAGTGAACTTGAGTGTCTGAAATCAGAGGCTATATCAAACCCCATACTTGGTGGAGATGACGAGGGGCAGAGCCCCATTGTTTCCAAAATAAAAAATACGCAAAGCGGGGAACAAAGTTCCATATCGAACTCTAGTAATATTTCTGTGGTTAGCGATCCTAGACACCCTGTGACTGCCTCCGGCAATAAAAACCTAAGTAAATATTTTATACACGGAAAAAATATAGATCAAACCGAAAAAATCGATAATGGTATCTCAGTATATACTAATGATGAGATTATCGAACTACCAAAAAATGATACTGAGATCAACCCTAAGATAAATGAGGAAACTAACATTAGTGAAATTAATAAGGATGATATACTAGATATATTGATAAAACCCAATGCATCAGAGGCTATGCCTCAAAATGTGACTCCGCACCTTATACAACCGGATAATAATATGTCCTCTTTGATCGAATCGCATTCTCAGATGAGACCTAGTCTTGAGGCTTTGCCTCTTCCGATAGGAGGGATAGGAGCGATAAGACCTAATCTCGAGGCTTTGCCTCTCCCTGTTATGACAAGCACGTTGATGACACCGCTATCAGCATATGTATTTCTTACTCTGTTAATTATTGCTATTATGTGGTTCGTTATATTGAGACGCACATGGAATATAGGTAAAAAAAGTAATCAGTTGCAGGATATGTGGGTTGGATAACTGAGACTATCGATTTGAACTTGGGTATTATTTATGTATAAAAAATATTATTAATAATGTTTAAGTATTGCTAATATTGGGGAATATATTTGATACTTAACAATATAGAATAGCACAGCTAATCAATTCAAGGCTTTGATATATTTCGTAAGCC